GCTGCATTAACAGAGGGATAGAATCAAGATCACGTGAAGTATTAATACCACTTTACAATGCCTTGGTAAGGCCACACTTGGAATACTGCATCCAGTTTTGGTCACCACGATGTAAAAAAGATGTTGAGACTCTAGAAAGAGTACAGAGAAGAGCAACAAAGATGATTAGGGGACTGGAGGCTAAAGCATATAAGGAAAGCCTGCTGGAATTGGGTATGTCTAGTTTAATGAAGAGAAGGACGAGGGAGGACATGATAGCAGTATTCCAATATCTCAGGGGCTGCCACAAAGAAGAGGGAGTCAAGCTATTTTCCAAGGCACCTGAAGGCAGGATAAGAAGCAACGGATGGAAACTAATCAAGGAGAGAAGCAACCTAGAACTAAGGAGAAACTTCCTGACAGTTAGAACAATTAACCAGTGGAACAACCTACCTCCAGAAGCGGTGAATGCTCCAACACTGGAAGTTTTTAAGAAGAGACTGAACAGCCATTTGTCTGAAATGGTATAGGGTTTCCTGCCTGAGCGGGGGGTTGGACTAGATGACCTCCAAGGTCCCTTCCAACTTTTATTATTATTATTTCAGATTTGACTGGCCATGTTGAATAGGGACATGTGTTATCTGAGAAATCTGTGAATATAAATTTATATTACTATGGTGTTACTTTTTAAATTTCAATCAGCATATTCTGTTATCAACATGGTTCGATCATGGTTGGGTATCTTACTGTTTAAAAAAATATGTTCCTGCAGATATTTTTTTTGTCCTTTATAGGAATCCATAAAGGTCACAGCAGCATGAAATCTGCTCTAATTCAACCTAGCTGCTAATCATATAAAGAACAAAGAAAGTGCAACTGAACATGGAGTAAAGTTCATTTGGCACCTGTTTTCACCATCTCAAATTGTTTTTGTTCTCATAGGATTTTACACCTCTTAATTTAATTTGTGACTGGTCCTCTCTCATTCCAGCTGTCCAATGTTATAAAGCATCCACTCCTGCCTGTATTATCAAGAGTATTGCAGGTTCCAACCAGTGAGCCAAGAAATTCAAAAGTATTAACGCAGAGCATGCAATCCAATTGTATTTATCTTTCCTACTTGATGGTGATTCAATTCCCAACCTGAAACAGAACTAATGTATTTTAATCCAGCTGCCAATTTTCCTATTGTAACAAAAGAAACTACAGTATATATAAACTTGAAATGCAAAATTATCTTTCTGGTTTTGTAGAAAATAATAATGCTTTGGTGGTGCTTTTAACATCTTGACTATATATCTGTTTACTCAGAAAAAATTTAACTGCAGTGCTTGTTCAGCCATCTATCTCATATAATGATTCTATATGAATCACTGCAGTCTATAAAGCCAGTCTCCTTTCCCCCATGTACTATTAGTCTAAATTTCAAACAAAGGAATTTAGTGTAAGTATTGAAATTCTAGTGATAGTTGGACACTAATTCATGCAATACAAGCAGCCTTCTCCGATTTGGAATTCTGGTCTCTTGTGACTACAGCTATATAATGCCTAGGCAGTATGAACAAATTATGTGATGACAATACAAAATATCTATAATTCTGTAAATTTCAGTTCCCAAACCTCTGAAGGAAAGCCAGTTGAAGAATGCCATCTGAAAGAATTGAACTGTAGTTATTTTCTCAAGTGTCACAATTTAAAAATTTAAAATAGGATTTATGTAGATTTTAATAATATACTTTTTATAAAAGTATATTAGATTCAAAATCACACAGGTGAGAGCATTGGTTTAGCTATCTCTACATTATCTATTAAAGGTTCTGAAGAATCAAAAGTTTTCAGTCTTCTGATATTTTCGTTGAACCTAATGAAGTTTTTGCTTAAATAATAAAAAATGGATTTCCATTGTTGAAAATGTTGGAAATGTTATTTTGATATGCAAAATGTGTTATATCACTCTTTAATAGTATTTAATATGGTGTCATAAGAATCTACTTTCCATTTAATATCAATTTAAACAATTGTTAGTGTATATGGTACTGTGATTTTTGTTTTCTGTTCTTGTCATTGATTATCTCTGTGGGGTTATAATTCTCCTCTCTTTTCTGGTACCTTTCTCAATAGTAGAAACTGTGAAAGGGATCTCGGAGTCCTAGTGGCAAATCACTTAAATATGAGCCAGCAGTGTGCTGCAGCTGCCAAAAAAAGCTAACACAGTACTAGGCTGCATTAACAGAGGGATAGAATCAAGATCATGTGAAGTGTTAATACCACTTTACAATTCCTTGGTAAGGCCACACTTGGAATACTGTTTTGGTCACCACGATGTAAAAAAGATGTTGAGACTCTAGAAAGAGTACAGAGAAGAGCAACAAAGATGATCAGGGGACTGGAGGCTAAGGAACGATTGCTGGAATTGGGTATGTCTAGTCTAATGAGGAGAAGGACAAGGGGTGACATGATAGCAGTGTTCCAATAACTCAGGGACTGCCACAAAGAAGAAGGAGTCAAGCTATTCTCCAAAACACCTGAAGACAGAACAAGAAGCAAGTGATGGAAACTAATCAAAGAGAAAAGCAACCTAGAACTAAGAAGAAATTTTCTGACAGTTAGAACAATTAATCAGTGGAACAACCTGCCTCAAGAAGCTGTGAATGCTCCAACACTGGATTTTTTTAATGAAAAGACTGGACAGCCATTTGTCTGAAATGGTATAGTGTTTCCTGCTTGAGCAGGGGGTTGGACTAGATGACCTTCAAGGTCCCTTCCAACTTTATTATTATTGTTAAGTCCGGAGAATAATGGCACTTGAGACGAAGCATCTCCAACAAGTCTTTATTGTTTGCTCCATTCTACGAACAACGACAACCCCAGAGGCGCGCAAGCCTCTATATATACTCTCCGATCCCCGGACAATTCCCACCAGTCACAAGGCAGTCCTTTCCCGCTTTGCGCATGCGCGCCAGGTCGGCGCCGGTCAGTCTGGTCCCGGGCAGCTTTTGCAAATGCCCGGGACTCTTGCAACTTCCCGCGCCTGCTTCTGCAGGCATGGGACACAACAATTATTATTTCAGATTTGACTGGCCATGTTGAATAGGGACATGTGTTATCTGA